GGGAGTCAAGAAAGATTCCAAGTTTCTGTGATTCACAATACATGGAGATTAGAAATGTGGGACAGATATCAAGTGTGGGCCAAACTGACTTCAGCAGATTCTAAACTAGTCATGCCTTGACAAAGCCTGCATCTTGATACCTCTCTGAGAATGGGAGTGACTAGAATAGTCTCTCAACACGTCTAATTTAAATTCTACATAGTTTAAAACAGTGACAATTAAGGCTTCCTTTTTTTCTTCCAGCTGAATTTACTCCACAGCATTTTAGAAAAACTCTTCCTCTTTTTCTTGGCAGTATGATTTTATATTCACAGCCCACAAGATGTCTCAAGAAGTAATTAGTCCCATTTTTTGTTACTGCTTCGAGTCAACTATAAAGATGACTACAATTGTATTTGAAAGACTATCAACAATTCAAGCGCTTGATATAAACCCCCATCTAGTGGATCAATTAGATCACTTGCAACTAATTCCTCTTGGTAGAACAGCCAGTGCTCATCAGAGTCCGATTTCACAGATCAGATACTGAAGTATCCACACTGAAATAATCTCTGCCAAGTTCTGAGTTGTAGAAGTCTGGAATTTCCACTGAAGACTTTGTGTACTTGAGCAGCTCAAAATAGTTCTGAGAACAAATATTTGGGGTTGGTTCTGTCCTCAGAGAGAACTGCAAACTCCTGAAACTGGGGGGACCTCTGTCCATGTAAGGATACAGGCTTTCAAATTTGCAGGTAGAGTGTGCCCAGGAAGAGGGATGAAGAAGCAGTCAGGGCTGAGAATCCTGCCTGGCTGGTAAACCCTCCCTGCTGGTAAATGTCCAGTGTTCCCAGGAAGGCCATATAACTGAGAGCAGAGCTGTGGGACTGCGGAAACAGAATGCCTGCCTTCAGCCCCTGGTGCTGCCATCTACTGGCTGGGAGACCCAAGGCAAGTTACTCAACTTTTTTGTTGTTGGTTTTCCATCTAGCAAGGGGAGGACATGTGGGAAACTCTGCAAGTTATGACCATGGTTATTGTTGGCTCAGAGCAATTCTCTTTCACTGCCCCTGCCATACCCCTTCTATGCCCATTGAACTAGCATGCTCCTTTCAACAGAACCTAAGGTGACACACCTGCTCCTAGGGACTGCTGCCAAGGACTGTGTGTGATTAGCTGACTTCTGGGCCAGGCCTAGAGGTGGGTAGTACCTTATAATTTGTAGCCAGAACCTCTTGCTAGGCCCAAGGAGAACATCACAGGGAAGCTGCACCTGCCCACCAACGGAGGTTAAATTCTAAGTACATGAGTTACACCAAGCTCAGTATGTGAGGTACAAGGCAATATGTCAGGGCCTTCTGCCCGGGCATTGGGTTTGAGGAGTGGCTGACTGATCCTCTTTGGAATGAGTTGGGTCAGGCCTGTTTGTCTACAGTTTCCATGAACTTACGGAAGATCTGGGTCCATTAGAAGCCGTGTCCCCAGTTAGCTCTGCAGACCCTGGAGAGTTGAGCACCAAATCCAGCTCTATTACCCTTCCAGGAAGTCTCCATCCATTCTCCTCATCTGAGAAGCTGAATTTATGCAGGGATTTCCAGTAGTAAGAGGCTTAGCTCTATCTTTATTGGCAGCAGGCTGCATACTTTTGATAAGTTAGTCTCTTGTTGCCACCAGTGGAATGAACAGGGAAATGCACCTATGTACCTGCAAAAGTCTGTAGTGTGTACAGCCTTGAACTTAATGGCTCTGCAGTAGAGGGTGATGGGTCACAAACAGTTTTAATCCATCCACTAATAGACCTAGGTACTATCCTAAACTTTGTAAATTGGCCTAGAGCTTCTGTGGGAAACATTGGTGATTAGCTTTTTCTTGAGGAACCTTTCTTTCATGAACCTGGGGTGACCTATGTAGTGCATTTGATGGAACAAAATCATTCTACCATCAAATGCCTCTACCAAATAGCTGGTAAGCTGTGACTCCACCATTTATTGGGGCTAACAAATGGTAGAGATCTATTCCAGATACTTCCAGCCCAGTAGAAATAATCCTAAAAATATCCAAATCCTGCTCTATTGTTTCAGTTCTCTCTATAGGGCCCCAAGAGGAGATCTAGACATAGCACAATTAAAGGCTTCTAAGTACTTCTTTAGGGCTGAGCCCACTCTTTCATTAGGGTTTTAGAAGAGTTGGTTAGTATAGATAAACTTGGTCTGAAGGTCCAAGTGGGACATTCTATGTCCGCGTATCTAAATGTTAGGCTTTTTACATCCACTGATTTTTTGCATGGTATAAGCACTCAAAGCAGCGAGCAGTATAAACAAAGAAAAGAGTGGAGGAGAGAGGAGAAAATGGTTTCCAAGAAAAACATTGAAACAATGTGAGAAAGGGTACCTCAGAGGACAGAGCCAGGAACTGTAGAGAACAATGAACTGGGGATCTTTCCCATCCCCTACCCCCTCTCAGTTTGCTGCCCCTTCCCCTGGGAACAGAACTAAGGTCTAATCAAGAAACATTTCTGGCTCCCATGTCAGGGGAACTTGACTGATTTCCCTAGAGGGATTTTAGAATTGTTAAAGACTAAGTTTCATCTCTTTGAATGGGGATGTTTATTGTGATTTTCCTGTTCCTGTTATACCATTGCATATTCCTATGGGTATGGGGAAGGAATGGGCCAATAATTTGTCTTTTTAGTTCATAGGTCCAATTCACATCTGGACCAGATGTAGATGATGAAATCCTAAATGTGTCTGATACCATGATTATTGGGTGAAGACTTCTGGGTGTCCTTTGTTGGTAATGGAGATGTTTTCCTAGAGGAGGGATGTGAACATGTGGCCAAGGAGGTGGACAGCTGTTGACTGAATTATTGGCCCAAGTTTGTTATGTCTTTCTGCCCTACATCATTATCATGGCCCTATCATGGGCAGAGTATACTTCCCTGCCTTGTGACCTTGGGCTTGGCCTCTTGCTTTGATCAATGAAATAGGGCTGAAATGATAGTGTCAATTTTTAGTTAAGGTCTCAAAAGACTTTGAGTGTTTCTTCTGGTCTTCTGTGCTTCTGCCATTGCTTGAGAAGAACATGCCCCAGGAAGCCCTCTGGTTCAGAAAGGATGAAAGACCATGGAGAAGACTCAGACCCGCACACCTGCAGAACAAAGCAGAGATGCCCAGGTGATCTGTAGATCCATAGACTAAAGGACTGCTGTCGTTAGCCACTGAATTTTGAGGTGGTTTGTTATACAGCATTATTGTGGCAATAGTTAACTGATACACTTGGCTCGTGGGTTCCAGCAACACTTTCATGAATCAGTTGTGGTAGTAGCTTTATGACTGTACCTGCCCCAGGGGATGTTTCTCCTTTGGGTGGTACTACTATCAATATAGTCCTGCCCCCTGGGTTGGACTGAGTCCTAGCCATAGGCCTCTTGCCAAATGACCTTCCCAGCTTTGTCTAGATTTGGCCCAGACTGGCCCTTCAACTGGTGGGGCTCAGCCCATTCCCTGCTCAGCCTATAGTGGTGAGTTTTATTATGAACTGCCTCAGATTTATCAAGGACGTAGCATCTGTATAGATAGTATAAATAAATGGGGTACCAACACCACCGAACATATCACTAAGGTCATATAAGAGTTTAAGTATTTTTAAACTCTATAATAACCACATGGAGTGGAGATATGCCCATAATGGTGGAATGTCTCATTTGGCAAATTACAGTATACATAGATTTCCTCCAGCCTTTTCTTCCTCATTCCTTCCTTAGCATGTTGGTATTATGTGTTACAGGATTTTGAGTTGCAAAAATCTAAGTTTAGGTCCATACTTTATGTACTAACGTGTTTAAGTCATAGAAGCAGTAAATGGAAGGGCCAGAATTTGAGTATTTTTCTGCCTGGTTCCAGATCCCATGCCCATGATTACTGTGTGTATTGTTTAATAATCTGGTTACTTGCTGGGTGGTGGAATGCCCGTTTAGTTTCCTCATATGTGAAATGGGGATGGAACTAAAGGAAAGCGTTGTGAGGTGTAAATGAGATATTTTATGTGAAAGTGCTTTGTAAATTGATTGTTTTCCACTTACTCTTTTAGAAGGAAACCGAGTATGTGTTTAAGTATATTGCCGTCAATAATTATGGATAAAATGTAGTTATACATTTGGAATGATCACTTGTTTTACTCTTACTCTATCTACAAGTCATCAATATCAGAATTTCTTGTTTCTCTTTTTAAAAATTAATCTGTGTTGGCAGCATTATGATCTCTCTTTTATTTCTTTTCTCTGATGGGTATGTTAACAGTAATGTCTGTCTTTTAAGGGACATTTCACTGTTGAATTTTAGCAATGGCTTTAAATCACCTTCCTTTCTTCACAGACATTCAGTAAAAGAAGGGAAGGGAAAAAGTCTTAATTTTGGTGGGTAGTGGCAGGGTTCTGTGGGGTGCATCCCAGTACATGTAGGACTGCCTTTCACGGGAGCCTGTGTCGTGCTTAAGCATCCCTTCCTTCAGCAAGTTGGGATTTGGGCCCTGGATCTATCTATTTTCGCAGTGACACTTGCTTCTTATGATATGCAATTAAATTGCATACATTACAAATGTTATTAAACAACTCTCTTGCAATTTGCAGAGGGAAAGGAACAGGCAGGAGACAAGTGTGAATGTGGCCATGTCCCTCTCTTCTGGAGCTTACAATTGAGTGATGGAAGAATGTAAACAAATATAGGTGGTCCTCAAAGCAGAAAGTGCATTTGAAAATGGAATGTCTGAAAGCATAAGGGAATTTTTTCCCCAGATAGCTAAGAGTTAGTAATTAGAAAATCCATTAATATAATTCCTTCAGTCTTAGGTGTCCCCTGCCAGAGTTGAGAAACCTGCTCACAGAGTCTGAGGTCAACGACAGTTGTAGACCTAGGCTGCCAACAAGCTATTCATGGAGGAAGTTGAGCAAAAACTAAGACTCCCTTCTCAAGCCCCTCCTTTGGTTCCTCCTGAGTTGCAGAGAGGGCCAGTGACAATGACATCTGACCTTTAGAACCCACTAGGTCTTGGCCTGAGGGGATTCATTGTTTCTACTAGCACAATTGGATCAGACCCCAGGTACATCATATGACCACCATTTCCTCTCTCTCCTTCCTGCACAGTTGCCTGACTGCAGTCCCTGTCCCCTGTTCCTTCATGACCTCCATAACTTCCCCTCCTACTGTGGACCAAACCAGGATGTTGGAGGCATAGGAGAAGAGGTTGGTCAGGGACACTCATCTTGGCTGGTGGTGCTAAGTCAGTCAGCAAGCTCTCGGAGCCCCTTCACTGCAGAGGGGGCAGTGCTCTGAATCTTTGGGGTAAGGGGTTGCCAAGCAGCCTCCAGCTCTAGCCCACAGTTCTCCTTCCACCTCTCCCATCACTCCTGGCCCTGTCTCGGCAGCAGCTGCTCTTAGGTGGTGCTGGAGCTGGAAACTGCCTAATCTGTGGAAGCCCAACTTCTCCCAAGCAAAGGAGTGTTAGGGTGTGAATGTGCGACAATGGGTAGAAGTGCAGATTATTTGGAAATTGGTGTCCAACTTTAGGAGATCATGTGTCAGCTGTTCAGTTGTTAGGTACTAGGGTGAAGGTGTGGAAGAAAGGAGAGAGATTGCTTCTGATGCCGGAACAGCGTCATGGAGACATTTCATTCACCCCTTCATTCAATACCATGGGCCAGGTTTTACCAGTGCTGGTCATGACCTGCACCCCTGCAGAAGTGGTACTGACTTTGGTCAAGCTGCTTTAGCCTCGTGGTGTCTCACTCTCCTTATCTGAAAATTAGGATCATGGTGATGATGATGAAGATTATGGTCATAACGATACTAATGTCCTAGAGTTGTGGAGCAGAATAAAATGGGCAGAATAACATGCACAGCACCTAGCAAAGTGTTTCACTGTTTCATATGCACATTTTCTAACTACCATTACTGTTTTTACAGTCTAGTTGGAGAGACCTCTGAAGCAGCACCAGAGTCGGAAGGAAGAAGAGTGGGCCGGCTGGAAAAGATGAAAGCCAAAGGCCCGACAAAGCACCGAGGTGAGAAAAGCAAGAGCAGCAAACCCCTAACCCCTAACCCAAGTAACCAGAGTGCGGGGGGCGGGGGGGGGGCGGAAGAATGTTGAGGATTAAGGCTGCACCAGGCAGGTTGGGCTCTCTCAAAGAAAGCCTTGTATACCACTCTAAAGGGGCAGCACCTCATTCGACAGGGAGCCGGGTTGTGCAGTCAGGAGAGCAGTGATCACCGGTAATCTACTGGTTTAAACATCCAAGGGTGCTGGGTACCGAGACTGGCTTGGAATCAGACTATTCTGTGGTGTGCGTGCTTGGAGAAGGGGGTGGGGGCAGCGGGCACACATCACTGTGCCAACCTGTGCCCCTGTGTCTGAGGCAGTCGCGCCCTGATGTTAGCTCAGGTTGTCAGCTTCCACAGCGAGCGCCTTAGGGTTGCCAGCAGGCAGCCAGCGACTGGAAGGTTAGGTGTCTCAGCCAAGTCTTATTAAACTCTCGGCTGCCTGGAAATAATGCACCATAGCCGCTGAGTTTTAAATGGCAGAGGATCTCTGGCTGCCAGAGAGGTTACAGGTAGATGCTTTCATTTGTCCTCTATGAAAGCTTAATATCATTTTCTTCTGTTCGAGTCAACTCACAGACCTCATTACTTCAAGCTCGTCGGGCAGCCAGAGCGGCCTTTTTGATTTTACTGGGCTCTCAGAATCTTGTTGGGGAAGAGCTAATGCATTTTTAACCAGCTCCAGCAATTTAAAGCTCTTGGGTGCTGTAGCATATTAATCAGTTGTTGGTAACTCTCTTAGAGAGGCATCCGTGTGGAGAGGGATTTCCGCTATTGCAGAGTGAGCTCCAGGAAGTAGGGGCTACGTGTCCTCCTCCCCTTTGCAACCCACCCAGGCCATGCATAGCACAGTGCCATCCGCCGGCTGGAGCATCACTTCTATTTTTGCATTGATTTAAATTTTTCTGCCAATCTACCCTATTCAAAAATGTTTTCTGAAAAATTCTATACTCAAACACTATTCCTTTGAACCTAAGGTAGTGGTTGTAGTAAGTAGGCACTTTTGAAAACACATATGGATTATCAATCACAAAATTGTTTACGTTGCTTTTTCTCTTTACTATCTACTGTGAACATATTTTATGTCATAAAATATTGTTCTACGGCCTGATTCTTAATAATTGCTTAGTATTTTATTATATTTACATTTATACAATAAAATACTCTCTTGACTGTTTTCATAATTATAAACCACTTGGCCATGAACACCCTTATCACTCCATCTTCGTGCACACTCATTTTTTCAAGTCATTCCCAGAAGAGAAATTATAAATCAGAGCACTACACAGTAGTAAGGCTTTCTATGTCCATCATATATTATCTTTCACCAGAGCTGTATGAGAGTGTCTATTTCTCTGCCACTGTGGTTTGGTTTCTACTTGAATTTCATGTTACTTATAACAGTGCATTGGGTTAATCTCCATCTTAAAGAACATTGGCTAAATAACTATAAGAGATGGTAGTTCTTTTCCTTAATTCCCTAGAGGGGATGAAAGTTAGCATTAACATAGGCCATAGACTTGGGCCCCAAAGTGACTGAGATAAGAATAATAAATCAGGCAATGGCAGGGAAAGAGAAATGTTAAAAGAAACTGGTCACTTGACTTAGAATAAATGTCCTTTTGGTCAGTCATTGTTGCGATGAATACTAGTGGAGTCATTGGGGTGGAAGATGTTTTGGTGGACAGATAAACTTAAAAATCTAGAAAGCTACATTGCAATTTGGGCAGGGAAATAGAGGTGCTATAGAGAGTAAGATCAGTTTCTACTGATTCTTGTTAATAAGGTAGTCATGTGGCTTTCCTTCATGTATTATATTCCTGATCGGTGAATTTTTTGATGTTATAATACTTAGCTGATTATTTCCAAAATCTTGTATTAAATTGAAGTTGCTTATAATGAGAGCATAAAGACTATTTTATTTTCTATCCACATATGTGATTATTTTGTATACTGTAATTTCTATTGTGAATGCCCACAGGAAAACTGGCTTTGATGATGGTTCTTGCCTCCCTCCCCCTGCACAAAGTATTTAAATTTATTCAAAACTATTATTGCTCCAAATTTTTGACCTTATACACAATGAGTACCTCCTTGCCAGAGTCTGGGCTTTATTCGTAATCCCTAGACCTAGCAAGCAAGCAAGGGCCTAATAAATATTCTTTATAAATATTGATTTAATTAATAAATATTTGCTGAACAAATGAATGAATGAAATTTATGTTATAAAAATATCTGGACCAAACACCCTTGCCCAAATAAGGATTAAGTTTGCCATCTAACTTAGCCTTTCCAATTATATGAGTCCAAGTTCTCAAACCGATTGAACCTTGAATGTTTTCACAACACTTAATTATGCATGGACATGTGTGCCTTGTTACTTTTTCATGTGTGTGGTAGCCAGTCTCCAAGATGATTCTCACCATCTGGTATTCACACTCTTGTGTGGTTCCTCTCTACATCAAGTAGGGCTCATCTGTGTAACCATTAAGGTATCACAAACATGACAAAATGTGGTGTCCAAGACTAAGTCATAAAAGGCTTATGACTTTTGTGTCTTCTACTTTGCTCTCTTTTGGATCACTCAACTAGAAGAATTCAGCTGCATGTCATGAGGATGCTTAAGCAACCTATAGAGCGGTTCATGTATGAGAACCTGAAGCCTCCTGCCAACAGCCAGCACTAACCTGAGAGCCGTGTGAGTGAGCTCCTCTGGAAGTGATCCTCCAGCACCAGTCAAGCCTTCAGATGACCACAACCCAGGTTGGCATCTTGACTACAACCTAATGACACTCTGAGCCAGAACTACTCAGATAAGCCACTCCTCGATTCCTGACCCATAGAAACTGTGTGTGATAATACATGTTCATTGTTTTAAGCTACTAATGTTTCGGGGTAATTTGTTACACAGCATTAGATAGCTAATATAATGTGTGACAGGCTTGTCTCACCAAATAGATTATAAGCGTCTTGAAGAAAAGAACCATATCTTTCATTTCTCACAGTGACTTTCATGGTACTGAGTTAATCAAAATAAATGATGTTAATGCTTCCCAATTGCCTTTTACTCAAGTCTACAAATATTTATTTAATGCCCACCAGACACACTTCTAGGAGATAAGGGAAGCAGTAAACAAAAAGGAGCAAAGTCCATAATAGTGAACAAGACACATAGTAATTTAAAATATAGATATGGGTGAGGTGAATGATGATACAAAGCTAAGAAGAAACATAAAACAAAGATGGAAGATGCTGTTTATGTATTTGATACAGGGTGTCAGGAAGGCTTTCTCTGATAAGACATTTGAGCAGAGAGCTGTGCATGTGTCTGGGAAAGAGCATCTAGGCAGAGGGAACTGCAAGTTCAAAGGCCACGAGACTGGAAAAGTATGGCACATTCAACAAAGGCAGTATGGCTACGGCTGAGTTCACTGCTTGTCACAGATTTCACCAGTGAATTCACTAAGTGTCTCACAATTTTACATTTAAATCTCCCTTGGTGACTTGGAACCCCCTTTCCCTTGTTTTCTGAATTTGCACAGGGTTCCAGATATTGGTCTATTTTAAACAGACCTGTTTATGTAAATGAGTCATTGTATAAACATATAAACATGGCTAATGAGTCAAAATTGGCTGATATTTGTAGCTGGAATGAAGAATTAGAAAATTCACTGATTGCAATCTTCCTTTCATTACTTTTGCCACTTGAAGCTCCCTGACTTCATTAAACCATCAGTGCCCACCAATAAATTATATAGCTTTAGTACTAACTCAGATATGTCTGAATGTTTCTGACATGGCAGGAAATAATCAGGCTCAATCAATATATGTTTATCAAGACATAAGTTCTCAAATCAATGAGTAATTAGCTCTCCCAATAGTGGAACAAATAAAATTCTGTTTCCTAACTGTTCTGTCATTCTGTCCTGTAGATTTCACCTCTTTTCCCCCTCTTGCTGAAAGAAATACATGTCACAATGAATCGAGTGATAACTGAATAATGAGTTCTGCCTTGATTATAGCATGTTGCCGATCATAAGTAAATGAGACCGTGTTTGCATTTCATAGGCATCTGAATTTTTTAATCTTGCATGCCACCTCAGGTAAAGCAGTTTATCCTTACTTTAATAAGTAAAGGCCCCTCTGAGAGGCACAACACAGAACGAAAGCTTACATTTAACATTGTAAACTATCATGTGCACAAGGGCTCCCGCATGGTTCTCCCATGGCAGCAGCTGGTGTTCCCTTTATAAAGCTGAGTGGTTTTCTTTCTTGCTTGCTCCCTTTTATGAACATAATCTTGGCAAATTAATGAATAGCTTTATTTGTGCTTTAATTCTGAAGAATAGATTTCATAAAGAGGGAGACATGGGGGGAATGGGGAGTAGGGTAGCTAGAATGAATCAGAGAGCAAAACTAGAAAGAGAGAGACACATACATTGAGATGCCAAGACAGAAAAAGCCTGTAGTGTGTGTGTGTGCATGTGTGCGCACGTGTGTGTGTAGGGGAAGAGACCGGAGACATCACCACTGAGGTACAACCAGAAAGGAGAAAGGACAACTATTTAAAGACTAGCATTTGTTTATGTGAGGGGAGAAGAGTACCTTATTAAAAAAAAACCAAAAAACTAAAAAACTTATTACTGTATGTATTTTTCTTAAATAAAAGTAAGAGGCCTTTTGCCAGGCCAGTGTACCTAGTGTTTGAGCATTGACCCATGAACCAGGAGATCGCAGTTCGATTCCTGGTCAGGGCACATGCCTGGGGTTTCAGGCTCGATCCCCAGCAGGGGGCGGGCAAGAGGCAGCCGATCAATGAGTCTCTCATCACTGATATTTCTCTCTCTCTCTCTCCCTCTCCCTTTCTCTCTCTGAAATCAATAAAGACATATATATATATTTTAAAAAGAGGCCTTTTAAATTGAGGCAAATTATTAGAAATAACTAAAAAGAAATAAACCTAATTAATAGTTTACCTGAAAAACTACTGTACATTTTTATCAAAGCATATTAATTTAAAATATTTGAGGACCAGACATGTATATTATCACTTATAATTATTTTTTTCAGCTCTAAATGCCTTTACTATAAGGCATAGGTTAAGAAAACAGTAAGTTCTTTAAATATCTACATAATTTTTATTTATCAGCCAAGCCATGCATAGGCAAATGTATTTTTAAAAAATCTTTTTTTTTGGTGCACATTTAATTAATATGAAGTATTTAAAACATAAAGACACTTGGGTATAATAATCATTTACCAAAAAAATTTAACTTTGATAGAAAACCAGCAAATGAATTTGCAAAATGTAAATAAATTTCTATCTTCCTTACAAATTATTTTTCAAGAACTGTAATGCTGATGACCTTATAAATTTGGCATAAAGGTAAATACATGCTGAAGTCCATTCATGTTAAACTGCACAATCCTTAAAGATATTTGATTTAAGGACATTAAAACAACTTTTTCCAGATTGACAGAACCTCAAAATTTTGGTTCTCTAAGTAGCAAGAACTTAAAATATTCATTCCCCAGAGAAATGATTATCTACTAACATTAATTTTAAGAGAATTCAGGGGTAATTTTATTGAAGAGAAAAATCTCAACAATCCTTCAGATGTTTAAAGTAAACAAAATAAAACAACAAACAAACAAAGCAGTAAATCCTCATAAATGTTCCCTCTCGAGGACTTCTTTCTTTCGGAAATTCTGTACTTCAAGGGAAAGTTAGTCCTTGTGTTTCTGATTCACTTATGTATCTCAGAGCCATTTCAAACACAAGCACATTGTATGAATCTTTTTATAAGCTTTTTCAAAGATATTTTGATGTGAACTAGAAAGTCATGTTTTGTTGGCACTAAGTGGGATCCCACTTCTGGGACTATATCCTAAGAAACCTGAAACACTAATTCGAAGGAATATATTCACCCCTGTGTTCATAACAGCATTATTTACAATAGCCAAGATCTGGAAACAGCCCAAGTGCCCATCTACTTCACAAGTACACCTTTGCATTTAGTGCTCGGCAGCCAGTCACAGAGCAGCTTGGTGTGGGGGCTGATTGTTGCCTGAAGTGGAACTGCCCAGACGGCTCACTCCCCAGCTGCTGATGGGCTTTCCCAGCGGCCTTCGGGACTGTCCGTGGTCTGAAATGGGGCACCAGTGCCTTTCCCCACCCATCTTGGTGGAGCAGTGATAGGAGGAAATTACTTTTGGAACCTGCATTCTTTGTCTGCCTTGACTTTCACCAAGTTTTCAACTTTGTGGGGATTTATGGTTATTATGAAGTCAAACTAAACTTAAGAACACTGCTATCAAACAGAAAACATGTGGGACCAAGTAAAGATTGGAAAGTTGTAGATGAGGCCACCTCCTTGCTGCGCCTTCGCATGTGAGTGAAAGCAAAGCACTCTGGGTGTATCTACAACACACAGTGCCCACTTCAATCTGTTCCACATGGTACTTTATAGACAGAAACTGCTTGTTTAGCAAATTGGTTAGTGTGTCTTTGTCTTAGATGGCAAGGTTGAAATATTACTCCTTAGGGCATGTTTTATTCATGTGTTTTTAAGTGAAAAGTTATGTGCTCCCAAAACAGGAGGTGGGATAGGAAGAAGCCATTGCAGAAAAAGTAGTGTAGCTTTTCAAGAGCTGTGGCTGAACGGCTTAAGGAGGTTAGTCTATGTGTTTGCTTCCCATTTGTAGGATAGATAAAAATCTGGTATAAACAAACTTTCATTTATAATTTTGTGCACTTTTGAATTGTTTGGGTTTTTTTTTTTTTTTAAACTATGTCCTTAAATTTTTTAAATTAACTGTCAACATTTCTTTTGGTTGCAAAGGTATTATTGGAAACAAACTGAGTTAAAGTGCAAAGGCAGTGAATTCAAAGTTATACATATTCATTTATTCTTATAAAAAAGGAAGTGTTATTACTTAAGTGGCCAAGGGGTCAAAATCAGTTCTACATTTTATAAAGAGAAGGTGATCTCCAAAAATATAGAGTGGTATGTTTTACCCCACACCAGAAACAAGACCTCATAGTACCATGTAGGGAAAGAATGAAGAGGTAAGCCTAGGTAAACCTCTTTCTGCAAGGAAAATCTTTGTAGCTATTAAGTTCTTGGAAAGAGGGAACAAAATAAAATTAGTATCCCTATTTCACAGGACTTGGTGAAAGTCATTTACTTGGATTTTTAGAGGTTGTGATAGGCTTTTAAATGAAGCATGACCAAGCCCACAGAACCAGTGGGACAGGGCTCCAGTCCGCACAAGCTGAGTGTAGCATACGGAACACAGAACAGCTGCCTGTCTGGGTAGAAAAGACCAGGGCCCGGCTTGTCCGAGGAAGCAACCTTTTATAAGAGACGTAGGTGCCCAGTGATCACACTTTGCCATGATACTTTGATGATACATTTCCATGTTTAGGGGAGAAAATGGGTTATGAGGAATTCTGGGAATGGACGAACAACAGCAGAGGTGATGACAGCATTTTGTTCTTATTATCATTTACTTTTCTTGGTTACTGACATTGTATTTGGAACTGAATGAGACATTTAATAACCAGCAGTGCAAGGAGATACAGGTTGAAGTAGGAATTGCTCCCTGTGTACGACCTGAAAAGGTGGCCCACCTGGGGCAGCCAACTTTGGGGAGGTTTTCTGGTCCCTTGAACACAGAGACATTTATGTTCCCTGTGATTCTACTGCATCCTCTGTGGCTATTTGTCCTCATGAATTTGGAACTGATAACAGAGCAGAATTTAGGAGTTGCCACAGGTTAATGTGAAGAGGTCCATAAACTTGAATGCTGAGGCTCCAGGCTCTGCCTAGGTCCTGTGTATCAGTTAGCTATTGCTGTGTAACAAATTACCTCCAAACTCAGTGGCTACATCATGTATTCATATAATGTACACATATATGGGTTGTTTGACCTCTGCTAGGCTCACTCATGCATCTTAGGGTTGGTTGGGGGCTCTGATCTT